GGGATCCGAGCACTTATGGACTGAATAGTTCGATGTGCAGTTAGGATAATCTGTCGAATAACTAAGTAAATGACGGACTAACTAACTAACTAACTAACTGACTGACTGACTGACTGACTGACTGAGTGACTAACTAATTAACTAACTAACTAACCAACTAATTAACTAACCAACCAACCAACCAACCAACCAACCAACCAACCAACCAACCAACCAACCAACCAACCAACCAACCAACCAACCAACCAACCAACCAACCAACCAACCAACCAACCAACCAACCAACAACCAACCAACCAACCAACCAACCAAACAACCAACCAACCAACCAACCAACCAACCAACCAACCAACCAACCAACCAACCAACCAACCAACCAACCAACCAACCAACCAACCAACCAACCAACCAACCAACCAACCAACCAACCAACCAACTAACTAACTAACTAACTAACTAACTAACTAACTAACTAACTAACTAACTAACTAACTAACTAACTAACTAACTAACTAACTAACTAACTAACTAACTAACTAACTAACTAACTAACTAACTAGAGGCCAGAGAACAAGATGCATGCACATTTCGTAATTGTAACAGACTCTGAAAACTTGCTGAGAAAGGCGAAGACAGGGATGCTTCGAGTATAGTGGCAAGCTTCACTGGAAAGGTCACGAGTAGTGAGCATACTGTGGATCGTTTCTCCAGGTGATGGCGGCGTGGTGGGGAATGAACAAGCAGAACAATTAGCTGGATATGCACCACTGGGTGGTGAATTAATATATGACAAGGTAGTTGTGGGCAAGGCCCTTTGGGAACCAGTAACGAAGTCAGAAGAGAAACAATATTATTATGGCCTGGAAGGCAAGATGTACATATAACCAGACTACAACCAGAACCATCATTAGCTGGCTGCTAAAGATGAGGACGGAGCGCGCATGGGAATGCCCCGAGTACTTGGATGTTAATTCTTGACAACTCAACTAACTAACTGACTGACTAAATAATTAATTGACTAACTATCTGACTAACTGACTGAGTAATTAGCTAACTGGCTGAAGTACTGACTGAAAGATTAATTGACTGACTGACGAACTGACTGACTAATTACTAAATGACTGACTAACTAGTTGGGTGACTAACTAATTGGGTGGATAACTAAATGAGGGACTAACTGGGTAACCAACTAACTGGGTGACAAACTGACTGACTGACTATCTGGCTAATTGACTGACTAACTAAGTGACTGACTAATTAGGTGCATAACTAACTGGGTGACTAACTAACTGGGTGGCTAACTAACTGACTGACTAACTAATTGACTGACTGACTAACTAACTGACTCAATAACTAATTGACTGACTAACTAACTAACTGACTCATCAATTAACTGACTGACTGACTAACTAATTAACGGACTGACTAAGAAATGAGAGAAGCTGAGGCAGCAGGCTTGGTATCTAATGCAGCGTTCTTTAACAAGTGGACCGTGGCTGGGGGAAAAAAAAGGAACACTGGTCTACTGCATGGCCCACAGAGTGAAGATTTGTCTGTTCAAAGTATGAGGCAAGTAACAGGGCCGAAGCAACACAGCCATTCAGGCACTGTCAGCCCGGAAAAGGGGGGGGGGGGGGGTCCCCGAAGATTTGCAAGCAGGCTAGACGCCCAGTAACAGTTTATAGACACTCTCTCTTGTTTTGTCTACTGCAAAAACAAAATTACTTCTTCTCTTCCACCTTGTACCTCAGCGAAGTGGGGGGGGGGGGGGGAAGGGGGCTATTGAGATTGATTTTCATGGATGAGACAGAACTTTTACGAAATACCAAGGCAATTATGGAGACAACAGAAATTAGAAATTAAAATGGCGAAAGACTATTATATATATGTGCATAACAAAATTACTACACGTAAAAAACTTGTAAGTCTGCAATCCAAGTATCGTGGAGGAAACCACACAGTAAGTTGCTACAATAATAATAATAATAATGAAAAGAAGAAGAAGGAGAAGAAGAAGAAGAAGAAGAAGAAGAAGAAGAAGAAGAAGAAGAAGAAGAAGAAGAAGAAGAAGAAGAAGAAGAAGAAGAAGAAGAAGAAGGAGAAGAAGAAGAAGAAGAAGGAGAAGAAGAAGAAGAGGAAGAAGAAAAGAAGAAGAAAAGAAGAGGAGGAGGAAGAAGACGAAAAAGAAAATGAATAAGAAGAAGAAGAAGAAGAAGAAGGAGAAGAAGAGGAGGAGGAAGAAGAGGTAGAAGAAAAAGAGGAATAAGAAGAAGAGGATGAAGAAAACGAAGAAGAAGAACAAGACGAAGAAGAAGAAGAAGAAGAAGAAGAAGAAGAAGAAGAAGAAGAAGAAGAAGAAGAAGAAGAACAGAAAAAGAAGGAGGAGAAGAAGAAGAAGAGGAAGAAAAAGTTTGTTGATACCGAAAGAGTTAGTGTATTTGTTTCGTTCGAACGGTGCATATTTTACACGCGACCACATTCAGCGAAATGTCTGCAGCTGTTTTTTCATTTCTGGTCCCAGAGACTTGTTGTCCACACGATCTGGTGAGACAATGACAGCATTCTTAATAACACTGCCTTTATTGCTGGACTTTCTTATACACAGAGATGTTGTGCTGTGTAAACTATGCAGCGTTATACCTCTTTAACAGTGATATAATAATCATTACATGAAGGCGTTTCAGTTTCTTTACTGCCATTCAGTCAGTCACACAGAAGTGTTCACTGTTGTTACTAATCACTAATCTAACACTGTCAGTATCAGCAATGAATGAATGATGATGATGTATCTACCCTACTATTGTCTCTATATAATGCATGATTTAGCTTTATTTTAATTTTGCTTTTGATTTGATTTAAGAACAAGAAATTACAGTTTGGTATGCAATGTTGGTATAGGGGGATCGACGTTTATTTAATTTATAAAAAGTATATTATTACTAAACTAATATTATTACTTTGTTCATTCACTTTATAATATACAGTACTTATAAATTAGTATTAGATTAATCAAATAAGATTATCTAACAATGATACTTAAAATAATGTAAATGAAATTAGTGATATCTTGAGGTTAACTCACAAAGTGCACTGATTGCCCAGAAGTAAATATTATAATTCACATTATTTCCAGTACCTCTGGAGAAAGGGGACTGTTGGAGTTGGAGTATAAATTATAGTTATACAGAAGAAACAGGAGAACTGGAGTATATAAAAGTAAAGTAAAGGACCCTTTTCCATGCCTTTAGGCATATAGGGCTAGACCTATATTTTTATAGACCAGTAAGCACAAGATGGGTGATGTGGTCAGCATCACGCCGGCCACCATTACTTCCAGGGGACTGCACCCGGTACCCACTCAAGGCTGGGAGCCAAGGTCAGTTTTGAAATTTTGGTCCGGCTCTGCCAGGGAGCGAACCCACGACCTGATCCGCGGCGAGCGTCTAGCCGCTCGGCCACGATGACTCTCACTGGAGTATATACCATATAACAAAAACAGAAGACTATATATACTATATAGCAAAAATAGGAGAATTGGAGTATATACTACATAGCAGAAACATGAGAATTGAGTATAAATTGGATAGCAGAAACAGGAGAATTGGAGTATATATTATAAACCAGAAACAGAAGAATTAGAGTATATATTATAAAGCAGAAACAGGAGAATTGGAGTATGTATTCTAAAGCAGAAACAGGAGAATTGGAGTATATATTATAAAGCAGAAACAGGAGAATTGGAGTATGTATTGTAAAGCAGAAACAGGAGAATTGGAGTATGTATTATAAACCAGAAACAGAAGAATTAGAGTATATATTATAAAGCAGAAACAGGAGAATTGGAGTATGTATTGTAAAGCAGAAACAGGAGAATTGGAGTATATATTATAAAGCAGAAACAGGAGAATTGGAGTATGTATTGTAAAGCAGAAACAGGAGAATTGGAGTATGTATTATAAACCAGAAACAGAAGAATTGGAGTATATATTATAAAGCAGTAACAGGAGAATTGGAGTATGTATTGTAAAGCAGAAACAGGAGAATTGGAGTATGTATTATAAAGCAGAAACAGGAGAATTGGAGTATGTATTATAAACCAGAAACAGGAGAATTGGAGTATATATTATAAAGCAGTAACAGGAGAATTGGAGTATGTATTATAAAGCAGAAACAGGAGAATTAGAGTATGTATTATAAAGCAGAAACAGGAGAATTGGAGTATATATTATAAAGCAGAAACAGGAGAATTGGAGTATGTATTATAAAGCAGAAACAGGAGAATTAGAGTATGTATTATAAAGCAGAAACAGGAGACTTGGAGTATATATTATAAAGCAGAAACAGGAGAATTAGAGTATGTATTATAAAGCAGTAACAGGAGAATTAGAGTATGTATTATAAAGCAGAAACAGGAGACTTGGAGTATATATTATAAAGCAGAAACAGGAGAATTGGAGTATATATTATAAAGCAGAAACAGGAGAATCAGAGTATATAAGGGTAAGGGTAAAGATGATGAAATTAAATAGGATAATCTCTCACTTGATGAAACTCCACTTTAAGATCTCAAGTCATACTCCTTCTACTTCTGCATTCATCATCAAAAGAGCGACTGGTAAACTGTGCTGTGGTTTACAACTAGGCTGAGATATCTAGCATTTTGACCCAACACATCCAATTTCAGCTTGTTGCTAAAATAATTACTAATATATTTTAAACATTCATTAATGGTGCTTGCGCAGAATAGAGGGAATGAAATAGTATGATAGAATCATCGATGTACATCACCCACCAAGTGCTGATTGGGCTATAAAACAGGTCTAGCCCTATATTCCCAATACGCCTAAAGACGTGGAAAAGAGAATTAACTGTTTAAAATTTTTGTTTAAGAATTACCCATATGGAATATTTACACCTAATTTTCTGTTGTTTATCTGTCTAGCTGCTCCTGACTTAAAGCACCTGCTTCCAAAAAAACACTGGCTGCTGTAATCAGATCCATGGCTGGACATCAAGCCTCAGAGGACGAGTTTAAGTGTGCTATTTGCATGGAATGCTTTACTCAGCCCTGTCGCATTCACCCATGTCAACACGTGTATGTTATTTGGTTACAGTTATTTATTTGATCAGTAAATACAACAGGTGAACAAAATGCTATTGACTGTGTTGTGGGGAGGGGGGCACATCAGGAAGGGATTGAGAATGAAGACAGAAATAATTGCACAAAGAATGAGACCTGAGGGTATGAGATGAGACAGAGTAAACCCAAATGTTGACAACGGTCCTGAAATCCCCTGCTGTCTTCCTCTTCTTTCCTCTACTCCTAGAATGCCTCGCGGCGTTCAGGGAGGAAGAGATCTCTGGAACGGGCCCTTCTGTTCTCTTTGTGTAAAGTACTTTACTGTCTTTGATATTTCTGTGGTCCATATTCTGTGCAGTCGACTTCTGGCTCTGTTACCGCTGTATCTGTATAACATTGCTTTCTGTAATGCCCTGTCTGATGCCAATCTTGTTACATGGCCAAACCATTTGATTTGTTGTCTACCTATAAAGTTCAGTATTGGTTCTGTGCCGACTCTCCTTCTGATATCATTTCTAAGTCGATCTTTCCTCGTTACACCTAGCATAATTGTATTTGTGATAAACTTTTCTAAATGCAGACGGGTCTTGCTAGTCGCCATTGCCATGGGCTGTGAGTCTCATGACTTCTCATAGCCCAATATAACACTATCGTCTGGAAAGATGGAAAGCTGCCTATAAAAATATTTTAAAAAGCAGACTTAGGGCCTTGCTCCATTGGGGGATTAAGTCACTGGAACTCACAAGATCAAAAATATTTATCCCTGTGTGGGTTCAGGGGCCCTATTGTAGGGAAAACAAGAATAGACCCACTGCCTAACAAAAAGCATGTTGTAAGAGTCGACTAGGAGTGCATCTGCCTGAGAGGCAAGGAACCAGCAGTCTGCATACAAATGAGTCAGATCTGTAAAACGAATGCACACACAACACTCAGGTTCTGGAACAGGACTGCAGTCCAGAAGTGGATGAACAAACAGAAGTTTCTGCCAGAGCTAACAGCTGGTGAAAAAGAGGAAATATATTAATATTTATTATAGATGCTGTTTTCTGTCTTCATTGTCCTAGATCCCTCTGGGCCTGTATTGTCACCTCTGGAGACAAAGAATCAGCTAGTTTTATGCAGAGAAAAAGAAATAGTGGTCCTCATCACCTATGATGGACGAACAAGTTTTTTTGTAAAAGTTACATTTCCTTCTTAAGGACATTCTCCTTCTCAGTTGCTGGCCATAAACTCCGGTTTGAAGTTCTGGTTATTCATCCATTTCTGGATTTTAATCTTGTTGCAGAACTTGAGTTTTCCATGTTCATTAGTTTTATAGCTATTTTCTCAGCTATTGTCTAGACCAGAGATTCCCAAAATGTGCGCCGCGGCGACCCGGAAAGCTGCCTCTTCACAGGGGCGCTGCGAAATATTCCAAGATACGCAAGTTTAAATTTTGTTGTTGTATCTCTTACATACAATTAGTCGTCCTTTTATTTAGGTTAAGGCGCTGTAGAAAAATTGTAATTGAAAAAAGGCGCCGCGACTAAGAAATGTTTGGGAAACACTGGTCTAGACTGTTAGTATCTGTCAGTATTAGAGGCACCAAATGACAGATGGCAAACTCTGTTTCAGCTATTGTCTAGAATGTGTACAGAATCTGCACTCACAGCTGAACCCCCACTGTCCCCAGTGCCGCTGTGACATCCAGTGTGTGATGCCAGCCGGGGATGTGGAGTTGCGGATGTCACAGTGCCACATATCATGCTCAGAGTGCAATATTCCTGTGAGTATTATTCCATTTCTCTTCTTGTTGTTTCTTTTGAGCAAGATTTAATCCACTGCCGGCTTGCTAGGCCTGTCGACGTTTAAGTTAAGTATTAAACCAGATGGATCTCATCCCAGCTGCTGAGCCCGAGCCCTGTTAGCCTTGGACCTTCTTGCACTGCTTATCTGAGGCCATAAATATTAGCATCTGTGTAGTATCTATCAAGGATTGCACCCATTGCTTCTTCAAAACCTGACGTTGAAAGGCAGAACACGAGTTGAGAAGAAGAAGATTTGGAATTTAGATGCAAATTACAAAATTGTGAACATGTAATAATTTTACTGGCCTTTCCAAAACGACACTACAGGACTTGGTAAAGTTTACAGTCAAAAAGATCAACAGTTTTATTCTGAGTTTTATCTCATATAGCTCAGTCTCACTCTGCAGAACAGCTAGCCATCTGCCGAGAACATCACACAAAGCACCAATTCCATAGATCCAGTGATCTTCTTCTTCTTCTTGTTCACCGGCTGTGAATTCCGGCGGTAAGTCACGGTTGTTCGTCCAAAATGGACTTTTGGCTTTTACCTTGACCTGAATTTTGCGTGTACATCCGTTTTACTGGCTTATTTGTTTGCAGTACTCGTTCCCTGCCTCTCCGGCAGATGTACTCCGACTTCGGAGGAAGATCCAGTGATGATCTCCAAGGATCTCCAAAAAAATACCACTAGGAAGCAGGCTGTGAAAGATTTGGATTAAGAATTTAGCTGAACAGATGGACCTCAAATACGAAAACTACCCCGTGTGGGTTCGAGGGTCTCGTTTAATGGGAAAAAGAAAGAGACCCTGTGCCCCTCTACCAAGCATGTCACACAAGGCAACTAAATAGGGGTGTTTCCTTCGAAGTTGGAGTACATCTGAGAGGAAAGGAGCCAAAAGTCTGCATGCAAATAAGCCAAATCTGTGAAATGGATTTACACGCAAAACTCAAATTATGGAACAAGACTAAATTCCAGAAGTGGACGAACAGCCAGAGTTTTCTGCCGGAGTTTACAGCCGGTGAGAGCAAAGAAGAATGAAGAAAATTCATTAGCATATTAAATGTTGTGTAGCTAATCCTGAATGCTTTCCTGGAGCAGGTCCCAGCATTATCCCTAAAGCAACACAAGATCACATGTCCTGGGGTTCAAAGACTCAAGGCTGTTGCTGCACAAAGTCTACACATGAGAAGACCTGGAGCAACAGCACCAGGGTAAGAATCATCATCATCATCAACTCTCTTTATGCCTAGTGGCACATGAGGCTTCAGAGAGGACTTTCCATGCTCTCCTGTCCTGTGCAATCTTCAGTGCAGTTTTCCATGTCAGAGATGCTGCATTCAGGTCACTCTCCATCGTTCGTCTCCTAGTTGTTTTTGGGCACTCCTTTTTTCTTTTTCCTTCTGTTATCCATGTGAGAGCTGTTTTGGCAGGTATATCAGGATTAATTCTTATTCACTTCCTGTAGCTATTTCATCAAACTTTAGGGGGAGAGGGGGGGGGGGGTGTGCATGAATTGTTTTCTTGTTTGCTGTTGTATTATCCACTCACATGGATATACTGCCCTGGATATGCAGAGAAAACTAGTTTTGGATAAAGCAGACATTCTGAGGCTCATTTATGATTGAAATATACTGGTGGAGAAGATGTAAGAATTGTCCTCTTGTGTTTGTTGTCCTGTTTTCCACTTATGTGGATATACTGATCTGAATATGCAGGAGTTCTAGGTAATGAAAGAGTGGATGTTTTGGCTACAACTGTTTGGATAAAGCAGACATTCTGAGGATCATTTATATAAGAAATCTGCTGATGTAAGATATTATGTTGGATAAAACATCACCTATAAGATTGCATGAATTGGGAATCAGGTGTGGATTTAGCAAGAAAGGACGTATAAGAGCAGAATACGACGTGTGTACAGACATGTGTGCCACTGGGACAGTCAGTATCTATACCTTAGGATCTTTGCTGTGGGAGATAAAGCATATATGCGTATGGCTGGTTGGCTATGCTGTTGGCTATGGCCATTAAGTTAACCTTATGTGTCGATTCCTTCCCACCAAAAAACAATGGTGGACACATTCTGTTTCTGGGGCAGCTTTTATCGAGTTTGCGGCGTCTGTGGCTAAGGCGTTGCGAATCCGACTTGTAATCCAACCTACCGCGATCGAAACACACTGCGGGCTGCGTGGATTTTTATCGTGGTATGGTCGACCCAGCCTCAAATGGGTACCAGGATGGCTGTCCTGGGGAAGTAAAAGACGGCCAGCGTAATGCTGACATTATTGCCCACTGGGTGCCGACTGGTCTGTAAAAATTTGGGACGCTCTGCCCATATGCCCGATGCGCCTTAGGCATAATAAGGGATCTTTACTTTACTACTTTACTTTTATCTAGTTTGCTCTCTAGACAGTTGCAGTCCCCTGCTGACGAGTTTCTGTTTTCCTGGGTAGTGGGCCGCTGCGATCAAAACATTGTGAAAGCAGGGTAGGCGCCACAACATAGCACAACCACAATACATGCTGCTGCCATGAATAACACATAGTATACTGTATTGGAAATGCGCACAAAATAACAGTCCTTGATAAGGGAACGGAACACTCTAAGATAAATCAAAACCAGCGAGAGAAAAACACCGCTACTATTTACCATTTTGAAAACGGAAGTCCACTATTATGTTAATTCTTAACCCTTTCACCCCGATTACCTAGAAAACGCATAGCTCTGTTCATCCAGTTCAAATTTTTCAAAAATTCCTGAATGCAAAAATCCGTAGAAGAAAAGAAAACAATTTGATACGTCACACACACACACACACACAAAATTACATATTTTATCACACAAAACAGGAGCAGATACTATACAAAGTAAAAAAACAGGGTGAGGGGTAATCAATAAAAATAAATGCAACATACAATTAACTGGCTTACATCCCTTGGAAGCCTGTAAACTATTAATAATAGGGTGACACTTGACCCATTGGTTGGATAACCATTGTAACCAATGAAGAAAGTATGTCCTAGGAATTTATTTAAATTAAAAACAAAAAAAACCCTAAATACTATTTCTTAGTAATGCTGAATGTCTGCGCTAATGCAGATACAATTAATTCTTTAGCTAGATGTTTCATATCCTGATTTATTGAAGTCAAACATGGACAGCAGGTAGATTAGTGAAACATTATTTGGAAGCTGCGGAGATGTCGTTTTATAAATGGATGATGGGAATACCCAGGACAGATAACAAAAAGTAATGAAGATGTCTTGAAAGAAACTGACTCACGAAGAAAACTGATTGCCCACATCAGAAAGAGACGATCTACATTCTTTGGTTGTGTGATGAGAAGGAGAAAACTGGAGTACATCCTGACATTCTGATCAGTGAAGCCAAAAAACAAATGGAGAAGAGAGCTGGAGAATGAAGTTAGAAAGATGGGGAGGACATGGGGAGAGCTCCATACAATGGCGAAGGATAGAACGACTTGGCGTGAGTTGGTTGAGGGCCTATGCTCCATTGGGGGATAGAAAGGCAGAATAATAATAAGAAGAAGAAAGTTATATGTGTTTATTTTATAGATTTTTCCATTTGATCGAGGTGCCTATTTCGGCCCTGAGTAAATGTGTTGCAGTAGTGATGTCATTACTACTGAAACCCTGTTCTGTGTATGCAGCTAAAGGTTTGTGTAGCTGCTTATATACAGTTGAGCTGTAATCTGAACCAATTTCAAATCTGTATCAACAAATGAAGATCAACTGATACAAAACATCAGTATTTAGCACACACAAGATTGTTACATCTCCCCCAACACTTCCATGAGGTGACTGGAGAAAGAAGAAGAAGAAGGAGGAGGAGGAGGAGAAGAAGAAGAAGAAGAAGAAGAAGAAGAAGAAGAAGAAGAAGAAGAAGAAGAAGAAGAAGAAAAAGAAGAAGAAGAAGAAGAAGAAGAAGAAGTAGAAGAAGAAGAAGAAGTAGAAGAAGAAGAAGAAGAAGAAGAAGAAGAAGAAGAGGATGAAGAGGAGGATGAAGGAGGAGAAGAAGAAGAGGAAGAAGGAGGAGGAGAAGAAGAAGAAGAAGAGGAAGAAGAAGGAGGAGAAGGAGGAGAAGAAGAAGAAGAAGAAGAAGAGGAGGATGAAGAGGAGGAGGAAGAAGAAGAAGGAGGAGGAGAAGAAGAGGAAGAAGGAGGAGGAGAGGAAGAAGAAGGAGGAGGAGAAAAAAAAAAGCCCACCATAATTATCTTTATTACAAAGATATGTTATGTTTTAACCACATATTTTTTTGCTTCTCTGCAGCATGGGCCCAAACAGATCCACTTTCCGATGTCCTTACTGTGATCAGTCCAACCTTGTTACCTACCAGCTCATTGAACATTGTAACATGGCACACACAAACTGCACAACCAAAGTGGTGAGTTTTCATCTGTATCCTTATGTTCATAAGCATGGCTTTGAATCTCTGCACAAGCTGGTGGATATGAGGGCGCAGTCTGGAGCTGCTAGACATTGAACATTTCATTAGCCCTGTCGCACTGAGAAGACTAAATCTAGTCACTTCTGGTTGTGACACAGTTCCATAAATGCTGATATATCTGCCTGTCTGCAGTGACCTGTTCTCAGAAAGTGTAGTTAGATTTCATTGGTTCCACATGACACTGTGCAGTGTTTGATGGTTTAAACGACGGATCAACGTCATGGCACAAGAGTAGTAACCCATAAGGGCTTCTTTCTACTTCTAACTCAATCCTGAGTCACAAGAATCTCAGCGCAGTGCACGAACTCTGTTGCACCGGCGAGGATCCTGAAATACTTTTTGGGTAGATTTTCATCTCCAGATTTTTGCGGGCAGCACTGTTAGGCAATTTTTTTTCGATTTCCAACTGCCAAGGGATTTTTTAGGTGCGCAACCATACACACGGGCGTCCGATCTCACTACCCAGAGACCAGTGGAAATTACTAGAAGTCCACTTGAAAATAAAAAATCCCAGCCTTCCCTGGGGCTTGAACCCTATAGCACTCGAGAACGACACCATATATCGAGACCACGCAACTTCCCAAGGCATGGAAAAGAATAACTTTTATAAAAATGGTTTCACCCTCTTTCAGACCAGATGCTCTCCCCATACTGGTTCCGGGGCCCAGTTTCTGGAGGACAAGATGACACTCATTGCTCTCTAGCAGGCATGTCATAAAAGGTGACTTATGTGTTTCCTTCAAAGTCAGAGCAAATCTGCCTGACAGGCAACAGACCAACAGTCTGCATTAAAAAAAAAGCCACATCTGTAAAATAAACGTGCACACAAAACTCAAGACCCCAAAGTCCATAAGTGGACACACAACCAGAACTTTCTGCCGACATCTCTAACAGGCAACAGACCAACAGTCTGCGTAAAAAAAAAGCCACATCTGTAAAACAGACGTGCACACAAAACTCAAGACCCCAAAGTCCATAAGTGGACACACAACCAGAACTTTCTGCCGACATCTCTAATAGGCAGCAGACCAACGGTCTGCATAAAAAAAAGCCACATCTGTAAAACAGACGTGCACACAAAACTCAAGACCCCAAAGTCCATAAGTGGACACACAACCAGAACTTTCTGCCGACATCTCTAACAGGCAGCAGACCAACGGTCTGCATAAAAAAAAGCCACATCTGTAAAACAGACGTGCACACAAAACTCAAGACCCCAAAGTCCATAAGTGGACACACAACCAAAACTTTCTGCCGACATCTCTAACAGGCAACAGACCAACAGTCTGTGTAAAAAAAAAGCCACATCTGTAAAACAGACATGCACACAAAACTCAAGACCCCAAAGTCCATAAGTGGACACACAACCAGAACTTTCTGCCGACATTTACCACCGGTGAACATGAAGAAGAAAAAGAAAAATCCAGATGCTCTGACAGTAATTAAATCAAGGTGTAATATCACTGGTCACTTACTTTCAGGTGTGCCCAATCTGTGCTTCCATGCCATGGGGCGACCCAAATTTGAGAAGTTCCAATTTTATTCGACATTTGAACATGAGGCACAAGTTTGAATATGATACATACGTGGTAAGTGGTTGTCTGTATACTTGCATACATATGTTGTTGTCTGTACACTCTTGTTTGTTCTGTTATACATACTTATGTTGTCATTTGTACATCCTAATAATAAGTTGTTATCTGTACACATTATTTTGGTAATATATGTCGGGAAGTTAAACCAATCAACAAATGCTTGATGAAGTTGGATGTGTCAGCAGAAATGCACAAATAAGGTTTCTCTTTGTAGTTGTAAGTATGGTGGGCAGGTCTGCAGAACGTTCTCAGGTGTTTGTGGTCTCATCTGATATGCACACTGTACAGTCTTTATTTTATGCATGTGGTAGTTGAGCCTGCTGTGTCCTGTTTTTTTTGATGGAAAATTGTTGTATGTTGCAGGATTACGATCAAGATGACGATGCCATGCTGCAGGCAGCACTTCACGCATCCCTGCATGACAGTCAGGCACAGTTCTGATACAGGGAGATCAGCAGTGTGTGTTCAGGCATGGAATGATTACACTTTGTGAGCTTGGATGGGTTGATACTGTTGTCTATTGAGGGAGGGAAAAGAATGAACCATATGCTTGCAGGAGATGTTCAGTTTTTGAGTGGAGATTATACTCTAAGGCAAGGGAACTTTTTATTGTTATGGTTTTATAAAATAGATCAGCGATTTTAAACAATATACATATTGAATTATAATGTATCCTTTCCTTGTTCTTTTCTCTTGTCTCACATTTTTTCTTTTCTGTATTAGTCAAGAACATTTTTTGATTTGCTGGTTTTGTAAAATAAGTGTGAGATTTTAAACGAATGAAATTTACAAATTATTGTGTATTTTTATCTTCTCCTATTTTCCGTATCCTTTTCTTTTTGTATCTCTGCCCACCTCTCTTCCTTTGTTCAGAGTAAGATAATCATCGTCAATCAGCAGAATCTTGATAGAATATTGTCCTCGTCACGGCACGCACGCCTGAAAGTCCATTATCTCCAGCCAGTTCTCCAGCTCTGTGTGCTTCCACAGCCAGTTCTCCAGCTCTGTGTGCTTTCACAGCCAGTTCTCCAGCTGTGTGTGATTTCACAGCCAGTTCTCCAGCTCAGTGTGCTCTCACAGCCAGTTCTCCAGCTCTGTGTGCTCTCACAGCCAGTTCTCCAGCTCTGTGTGCTTTCACAGCCAGTTCTCCAGCTCTGTGTGCTCTCACAGCCAGTTCTCCAGCTCTGTGTGCTCTCACAGCCAGTTCTCCAGCTCTGTGTGCTCTCATAGCCAGTTCTCCAGCTCTGTGTGCTCTCACAGCCAGTTCTCCAGCTCTGTGTGCTCTCACAGCCAGTTCTCCAGCTCTGTGTGCTCTCACAGCCAGTTCTCCAGCTCTGTGTGCTCTCACAGCCAGTTCTCCAGCTCTGTGTGCTCTCACAGCCAGTTCTCCAGCTCTGTGTGCTCTCACAGCCAGTTCTCCAGCTCTGTGTGCTCTCACAGCCAGTTCTCCAGCTCTGTGTGCTCTCACAGCCAGTTCTCCAGCTCTGTGTGCTCTCACAGCCAGTTCTCCAGCTCTGTGTGCTTCCACAGCCAGTTCTCCAGCTCTGTGTGCTTCCACAGCCAGTTCTCTAGCTCTATGTGCTTCCACAGCCAGTTCTCCAGCTCTGTGTGCTCTCACAGCCAGTTCTCCATCTCTGTGTGCTCTCACAGCCAGTTCTCTAGCTCTATGTGCTTCCACAGCCAGTTCTCCAGCTCTGTGTGCTCTCACAGCCAGTTCTCTAGCTCTATGTGCTTTCACAGCCAGTTCTCCAGCTCTGTGTGCTCTCACAGCCAGTTCTCTAGCTCTATGTGCTTCCACAGCCAGTTCTCCAGCTCTGTGTGCTCTCACAGCCAGTTCTCCATCTCAGTGTGCTCTCACAGCCAGTTCTCCATCTCAGTGTGCTCTCACAGCCAGTTCTCCAGCTCTGTGTGCTCTCACAGCCAGTTCTCCAGCTCTGTGTGCTCTCACAGCCAGTTCTCCAGCTCTGTGTGCTTCCACAGTCAGTTCTCCAGCTCTGTGTGCTCTCACAGCCAGTTCTCCATCTCTGTGTGCTTTCACAGCCAGTTCTCTAGCTCTATGTGCTTCCACAGCCAGTTCTCTAGCTCTCTGTGCTTCCACAGCCAGTTCTCTAGCTCTATGTGCTTCCACAGCCAGTTCTCTAGCTCTGTGTGCTTCCACAGCCAGTTCTCCAGCTCTGTGTGCTTTCACAGCCAGTTCTCTAGCTCTGTGTGCTTCCACAGCCAGTTCTCTAGCTCTGTGTGCTTTCACAGTCAGTGCATCTTCTGGAACATCTTTTATCCACTTTTCTGGATGTCAGCCTCTGCCTCATTTTCCAGAAACTTTACGCTCATTCTCCATGTTTCTAGGCCACATGACGTTCAACATGGCCAAAATACCTCAGATTTCAGGACAGGGTGCTGTTTATGAGCCAGTTTTCCCTCAGTGTTCAGATTGTATGTATAAAATTAGATCTTGTTAATGTGTAGCTAGGTAAATATAAACCTGTGTAATATATAATATATGGATAAAGACAGCAGAGAACACTGCGATTGCCAGAGCAAGAACAGGACAACAGCTGAAGTCCTTCTATTATATGCCTTGTAGTGGAAACCACCGACATATCAAACCACCTGACTGACTTCAACAGAGCAACCACAATAGCAGATACATTATGTAAATGGAACAGAGGACAGCAACCAGTGGCGGAGACCCTATAATCTGGCATCATGGCAAGCACCAACTAACCAGTCAGTACTAAGAAGTCGATATGTGTTAAAATAAATGTAGTGTCATAAGTTTATGTGAAGATTGCATTCATGTACCACAATACGGCTTCTGTTCTGATGTAATAAGTTCTTATTCTTCACATACACCATAAGTTTCCATACATAGCAAACATAAACATTTTTTGGTTTAAAAATGAAAATCAGTTTTATTTATATAATATTCTCTACAAGACTACCATTGTTTTGAAAACATATTTCGATGCGTGTTCTTCTTTGCTGAAGAACATGTTTAAGCACAGCTAGAGTTATGCGTGTAATGGTGCTGGTGATGTTTATGTGTCTTGTGTATGGAAACTTATGGAACACCATGTTTGTTTATTTTATTTTTAAAATATTTTTTTAAAAAGATTTATTGTACAATTTTTTTTTTTCAAATGACAAATAAAGATGTAGAAATATTTGTTTGAACCTTCTGAAGCAGTTTCAACCCCACTAGGCAGGTCATGTAGTCTGAATGTCAATCCTCTGTATTCGTCAAACCTTCATAGTTAGCACTATAAAGGTTTGAACAACAGATCAACATTATGGCACAAAGTTTGTAACCCATAAGTGCTCCATTCTACTTCTAACTCAAGCCTGAGTCCAAAGAATCTCAGCGCAGTACATAAACTCCATGGTACTGGTCTCGAGGCATGGCATCTGCCTTGAGTGCTGGAGGTCCCATGTTCAGGCCCTCGGCGAAGGCTAGGATTTTTTCCAGTAATTTCCCATGTTCTCTGGGTAGTAACATCGGGTGCCTGTGTGTACTGTTGCGCACGTAAAAAAATCACTTGGCAGTTGGAAATCGAAAAGAGAAGGCTAACGGCACTGCCCAGTAAAAATGTAGAGTTAAAAATCTACCTAAAGTATTTCAAGTTAGCACGTGTGATATCTTTTAGTCCCTCAGCCTCATGTACACAAAATTTAAGATTTGCGAATGTGCCATGTGCACATGTGGACTGGAACCTGAGACAACAGATCACATCCTCCTAGACTGTTGCAAATTCAACATTTCCAGCCAAGAGAGACACTGGTGCAAGTCAAACTTTACAGGCCGCCAAGTGAATTACAAAAGACAGTGAAGTTCATACTAGAGATAGCATTGCAGATATACATTATTTCAGGCAAACAAAAGAAGTCCCTCAACGTCTGTGGCTTAGGCGTTGCCAATACCCTTTGCAGTGCTGAGTTTGATCCCAGCTGCAGGCAGTCTGGCAGCAGACAACCTTGCGTTGTTTACGACAGTAGTATAGAGAGCCAGCTATTCAGAAAGCAGCGGCAATCTACTGAATATAAATTTGCCTAGTAAAATCACAGGCAGCAAAAAATATCAAAAGTAGGGTTTGGTTATGCAATGTCTTGAAAAGACATGCAACTAACTTTATATTTCAGTCTAGCTCAACCATTTGCAGCAGACTCTTAATTGTTGTTGTTGTCCGTCCACCACAGGTGATGATGACCAGTCCCTTCATCCAATGGTGACTGAATCAGGTTTTGTGAGTGCGCAGATGTCTGATAAGGCAAATTCTAGCACTTCTTCTTCATCTCTTCCACCTTGTACCTCATCAAAGTGTCGGGGGGGGGGGGATGTTATGTTCGTTGATGAGCTCTGTCAAGAGCACTATTAGGACTGATGGTCATTTCTGTAAGGCTGCCATCACTCCATTTTTTCCGAGGTCTTCCACTCGCTCTATATCCGTTGTAACTTTTTAGTATGGCTCGCTGTGGCAGATAGTACCAGAGCATTCTTGTTAGGTGTCCAAACGACTTCATTCTAGCACTGAAAGTTCTTAATCAACGTGGACAGGAAATAGAATAGATTCCTAATTACCACTGTAGATTGAGAAAACAGCGCATGGCCTGCTGCCACACACACGTTGATGCTTTATATGATTAAGGGAGTCACTGTGGCAGAGCGGCTAGACGCTGCCTGAGAATCGGAAGGTCGTGGGTTCGCCGGACATCTTTCAAAAATGACCTTGGCTCTCAGGTCTACCCAGCCTTGAGTGGGTACCAAGTGCAGTCCCGGGAAGTAAAGGTGGCTGGCGAGATGCTGACTACATCACCCATTTTGTGCCGACTGGTCTATAAAATATAGGTTTAGCCCTATATGCCCTATAAGTCTAGTGAGGTGGAAAAGGATCCTTTACTTTACCTATATGATTAATCTGCTATCTGTTTGTGACTGCCGCTTCTGTCGATGACGAACTGCATTTCTTTTGTCGGACTGTTTGTGTGAGCACTTCTGATGGCTGTTTATGCTTTTAATGCGTGTGTATGCTAGTGGATATGCTGAGACTGCAGTCTGTGTCCATTTTTCCACAAGGGACAGTGATGGACATTCTGTGTGTTTTTCACTGGCACAGAAGCGGAGCAACTATGGGGCGACTTGTTTGCCATGAAGCTGAAACTAAGATTACCAGACTCCCAGATAGTCACTTTTTAAGGCATGCTCTGTTAGGGGTAGAGTGTGTATTCTCCCTCCCCCCCCCCTTCCACCTCCCCCCCCCCACACACACACACACATGCACACACAAATTTGGCCCCAGAACCCATATGGAAAGCATGTCACTCACACAGTGCAGAAAAGAATCTTCTGCAGCAGCGGTTCTCAACCTGTGGGTCATGACAACTTTGAGGTTCAAATGACCCTTTCACAGGTGTCACGAAAGACCATCGGAAAACATATTTACTGA